GTAAGAATCAGATATGAATTGTTATTAATCGCCTAAGTAGGAACGTTTCTCACATAGGATTTGTTTAGCTGCTGTGCCTCCTATTCTAGCTTCCATAAATTCATGGGCAGAAAGAACACCAGCAGCTGGCTCCATATTCTAACACCAGTCCACCTTACGCTATTGAGAAATTAAGTTTTGACTGGTGAGGATTACAGGCAGAGACTCAGTATGTTCACTGCATGAAACACAGCTAAAGTAAATGAGCAACTTAGTAAATGGGCAAATCCTTCATTGCCTTCAGATTCTGACACAGCTGGTGGGCAGAGTCCCAGCTAGCATGTATTTCCAGAATCCATCCCTGAGGAGAGTAAGGGCATGAATGGCTGGGTAGCATTCAGATGCGAGCAGAAGATGTAATGTTCTCATTGAATGCCCATGACACAGAAGAGTTTTTAACTACCAGCTCTGCCAACATCCGTCTCTGTTAGCTGAGGGATTCAAAAAGACACCAGGGTTGTGAGCCTGACCAAGAAATAGTGAATATGCTGCCAAGCCTTCATTTCCCCAGAACTTCGACCTTTCCCTGCTCAAACCCCCTGTCATACAGCAAGTGTCAAAAGCATAGAAATAGAGATCTCAAGGACATCAGAGTACTGGAAATATGGAGAGACTGGCTTCTTTCGGGGTAAAAATTGGACACAATTTGCAGTATAAAAGCTGAAATTTATGACAGCACCATCTTTGAAAGGATCGTTTAGGTGCTAGTTACTAGCTCATGATGTCTTTTACTGTCTCTTGGGGAAGAGAAGAAGAAAGCATGCCATTCAATTACATTTGTTAAAGACCACAGGTCCATGAATTCCTCATCATAGTCAACAATACAAATGGCAGTTGACTGATCCAAAATACTCATCATAAACATGCAACTTCATCTCCACTTTAACTTCAGTGCAGTCGGGGCACTATCTCCAGGCTTAATGCCAAACTGAGTGGGATCAAAACCCCAAGCACTCCAAGAACTGATGGATCTGTCCTCTTATGCTCTTGCTATCCCATTTTCTTCAACAGCCAAAGAAGATATGGGTGATGACAAGAAAAATGCTATCATCAGTGCATGATTTCTTCAGCAGGTAGCCAGCTAGTCACTTTGATCCTCCAAACAATCTCTTTATAACTGGTCTAAGTGTTTGCCTCTTAGCCTTTTCTAGCTAAATTGTTATACGTGGAAACTCCCAGAAACTCAGGAATTATCTCCAGGTTGAAGTCCACCTCAGAAAGGTCACATTTGTTCCCAAGAGGGACAGCTGCCCTGTTATGGCTGGAAATTGGTGATTTGTGTTTTTAAAATGGGCTGTAGATTCACTGCAGCACAAAGCAACACCCTCTCAACAAGTCAAACAAACTAGATTAATGAGCATGTTAAGCACACACAATAATTTACTTCACTGGGGATCTGCAAATGCTTTGATGGATGAGAAGAACCCAACCCTTTGCTTCTTTCATACTCCCAGTACTCATTTTCAAAGTTTATTATGCCACAGTGAGAGACATTTGTGAGCTCAGTGGCACGGCACTGAAACTTAGCAGGCCTTTGTCTCCCTCTGTTACAAGCAGCCACTTTTCCGTTACTGGCCCAAGTGATGATTATATAAATAAATACTGGTAAAATGTGTTGGAGTTTGGTTTTTTTTCCTAATATTAAAAAAAAAAAAAAAGGAAAAAAAAATGGGAGGGAAAACCCAGTGCTTAAGAATTTTAATTAAACCGAAAAGATCTCCTCTTTATTTGGATACATTTATAATGATAAACACTTACAAGGACAGATAACAAAGAAACAAGTTTATACAAAATGTGTAATTTCAAGATGCAAGTAGACACGAAACATTTGTTTTTACAGTAATTCTATTTAACTTGTATTCTTTTAAGACGGAAGTTTACAATTTATTTGAATGTAGGCACTGTCACACTGTGATATTTAATGTGTATTTCTCTTTCAGTTGTAGCAAGTCTAATCATTCTACATTTGTCTGGGGCAACCAAAAAAGGAGCAGGTATGTAAACTTTAGACATTTTTTTCAGACATTATACTAAAGTCCAAAGTATGAATTTGAGTTGTTAGTTTAGGTCTTGAAATTTTTCATAGTTCACCTATTTCCAGTTTCTGTCTTTTGATCATTTGTTTTGAGTATTAGTGTGCCTGTGCACACAGAAAAATCCAATGGTGCTTTTTTTAATAAGTTAGTGACTTGATCCTACAGTGGTTTCACTTAGCTAGCAGCCAAGCACAGCTGCTCACTGACTCTTCCCCTGCCCCCTGCCACAGGGAAAAGGGGACAAGAACTGGGGGGATAAGGGTAAGGAGACTTGAGAGTAATAGGTTGAGACAAAAACAATTTAAAAACTGAAATAAAATAAAACACAACTTAAAATAATAATGATATTAAAATAATAGAGATAATAGTAATAATAAAATATGCAAATGAGTGACACACAGTACAATTGCTCACAACCCACTGGCCAAACCCCGCACATTCTTGGATAACGATCCCAGAGGAGCAACAATCCTGAAGACTGGAACCAAAATCCTGGAAGAGCAAGAGCCCAAGAGAGAGCCTGAGAGACCCAGAGAGAGACACCCTCATCAATGTATTGAACATGAAGTTATATGACATAGAATATCCCATTGGAATATCCAAATGCCAGTTTGGCTTCCAAATTTTAATATTCCTCGTGCCCACCTAAACCTTGCACTTACATACTAGCAAAACACAAAGTCCTTTGACTTCCAGTGACAACTGAAAACATTAGCATGTTATCAACATTCTTCTCATAACAAACCCTATACTGAAACCAAAATACAGCACTATTCTAGTTACTAAGAAGAAGAAACTAGCTCTGTCCCAGCTGAAAACCTGGGCAGATCCACTTAGCTGGATCTAACTAAAGACTCAGCCTGACTCTAACTAAAGATTGTAAAGTGCTCCCACTCTCAAATTGGGATGTCCAATTTGAGGGCACTGAGCTGTCTACTCTCAAGATCTTTTTGCTTGTTGAAGTAGAATTCAAAATCTGAAATTAGCGGGGATAGAAAGAAGTGAGAGCCAAGCAAGGAGAGTTGCTAAGCACGATGTGAGTCTGAATTTGTGTCCGACTGCTGAGTCCCTGCAGGCCAGTATTCTTTTTGGGAAATTAGGACCTGAGTTGTCCTCAGCTTGGATACCCACCAGGAAGGAAGAGAAATGCTTGCAGAGTGTAAGGCAGATCTCAGGTGGTTAAAATAATCCTTGGAAGGTGCCCGTGTCCCTCCATTAATCATAAGAGGGAGCCTCAAACAACTCAATTCTATATGTCAGAGGCTTAAGTTAGATGGATATAGGTACCTCATTCAGAGCAAAACTCGGCAGTCCTTTTCAGACATGTGTGAGGTCTAGAACCTACTACCCTTCCTTTTGATATATGCCTAGATATTTTCCCCTGCAAAGAATCCATCTTGTTTTAACCTACTTGCTAAAGCATGATGCCCAGGAAGTGTTTCTTCATCTTGTTTGGCCTGAACAGACTCAAAACTTTGTCTCCAGGCTCTCTGCCAATGTGTGGAAAGCAGTGCAAGAGTTTAAGGGCTAGGAGGAAGGCAAAAAAGAAGGACTGACTGTGCTCTCTGATGATTCACCTAGGAGTAAGAAAGTTCTGGGTTGTGACTCCTGGCCTCAGAGCTATTTTTTAAATTTTACAGCAAACAGCAAGATAAAAATAAAGATAATCTATGAACCAGAAACCAGGAATTCCCTCATCTGTCATTGGTGACTGTAGAGTCAAGCTGCTGCAAATTAAAAACAATTCTTATATTCTACCGTAATTCTGTGTTTTTCTCTTGATTTTGTGACTCTGATGTGTTCCTGTATTACAGCATGTAGCTTGCTGATAGAGCACATGCTTGAGTCTTTTGAGATATATGAGTGGGAAACTCATGTCTCCCATTTCTTGAGCATGTGCTTTCCTTACAGGGTTATTATTTAAAAAGCAATGTAACTATGTGTTTCCCCAGACATCCAAGCCTCTTTTCTGCTTTGAAAAAAATGTTTTGAGTAATAATTATATGTTTGTACTCCTAAAGAACAGCCTTGTTTTCCCCCAGGTCAATGATCATACTCTTAGTTTCAACAGAAAAAAGCTGAGGCTGCTGACAGGAAGGACTATTTTATTCTGTAAGAGAGTTCTAAGTGTCATAGGGACATAATAATTTATGAGCTAATTATATAACGCTTAATGTGATATTCCACAGAAAAGCAAAGTACTTCCGAAGGACAGAAACCAGTGCAGTGTGGAACTTGGACAAAATATGCAGAAGGAGGCATCTTCACTTCTCCCAATTACCCCAACAAGTATCCTCCTGACAGAGAGTGCGTCTACATTATAGAAGGTGACCAGCTGAAGAATCTTTATATTCTAACATCACTGTATTAAAAAAAAAAAAAAAAAAAAAAAAAGTATTTTATTGTATTATATGTGAAGAGTAGGTAAAGCCTATGCTTTACAGGCTTTATGCATAAGATTTATAGAAGCTCTATCTCTGCACTTTTTCTTTTTTTTTCTTCCTTTTTTAGTAAAAATTTATAAATTTTGTAGATCATACGAAGAAATACTGGAAAATACTTGATTTATTTCCCAACATCACTCATAAATTAGTTCAGGTGGCAAGTATGCGTCAGTCATTTAGTAATAAGCACAGTACAATTTATTTCAGGATATTCAGAGAATGAATAGAACCTATTCATGCTGTAGCTGTAATGCTGTAACATGGCAGAAGAAAGAATATTTCAAAATGAGTTAAAAAAGTGAACACAGCAAACAAAAATGCTTTGCCTTCCATATAGGTATTTTAAACTTATCATAACTGAATCAGGGATGACAAGCATAGCTAGGCAAAGTACAGTAAAGAAAGTCATACAGAAAATATCCATATAATGAGTATAAAAAGTATTTTCCATCCAAGTGGAAAAATAAAAATAAATGGAAAAAAAAAAACCAAAACAAACCAAAAAAACCCAAAAGAAAACCAGAAAAGAATTAACATTAACACCAAACAGCTGTAAGACATAGTTTTTGAAGAGTAGACAGTTGTAGGCACAGAGGTGATGTAAGAAAGGCTAGCGGTGTGTTACAAGCAAGTTACACAGTTTCTTTTCATCAGTTCTAGCACAACAGATGTTGAAGGAATTGTAAAAATGAATCTGTGGAAAGTAATAGAGATTAGATACTATCAGAGCTTAGTAGCAGAAAAGATGACTCAGGGACAGAATGGTAAGTCATTGGAACAAGAAGAGTCATGAATACATACAGAATACAACACTGACACTTGTTCTATTCATGTTTGGTTGGACAGAATTATTAACTACAAAGGATATAACCAGGAATTATATAAATATTTGTTTTACTAAAGGTGCAGGTAGTTCTAAGAGAGATTTTCAAAGGTGTATAGCTAATTTCAATTGAATTAGCTGTTTTAGAACCCCTCACTTTTAAAAACAAATCTGTCTTTCCAAATCTAGTGCTGAGTTACTAAAATAAATATATTTTATAAAAATCTTACAGGAAAATGATGGATAGTGAATGTTGTATATTTTGGTTAGGAAAAAAAAAATCACATTAAAATGACTTGAGATCTTTGAATTCCACTTTAGTGCTAGGTAACCTGACTGAAGTCAGAAGCAAAGAGGTGATTATAAATGATGGAGTCAAGCAAGCCCTTTAAAGAAAATTTATGCTTATCCAGTCTGAGTCTGGAATTCATGCAGATGTATGGTAAACATTGAAGTTCTTTCATGGCTTAGTAATTGATTTAAAATACAAATAAAATAAAAAAGAAAAAAGAGATAAAAGTATAGATTTAATATGGACTGCTTAGTGTTATATTTTTGTTACACTTCTATTGCTAGATCCAGGTCTTTTTGCATATATTAATCAAATTTTCTTTCTAACATTCCTGTTAGACCAGGGAGATGTAAGTCTAGTTTGTCTAGGATCTGAAACACAGGGATGTGTTTTATCATTAAAGAGAAAGGCTGTGGAAAAAGAAATAAAATATAATCATTTTTGCAAACCCTAATCCAGTATCTCAAGCCATAAGGTGTTCCTCCTCTTAGTAAGAAGGTGCCTGAAAGACCTTTATTGTAAAGACCTTTGTCTTTTTTATATTGGTTAAGTACTTGTAAAAATATAGTTCATAAGATGAAAGGTGGCAAGATATGCTATTGAAATAGCCTGATTTAGAATAGCTGAAATTGGAAATGTCTAAGACCAATTTCGGGGGGAAAGATTGAGTTGAACAGCTTCTGTGATGAAGATGAAATTCCATGTTGACACGTTTGGAGCAATGTATAGTAGCAGCAATAATCTGAATTCAACAGACAACTTGTTATATTTTATGGGAAAAAATAATCTGGCCAAAACCAGTTGCATATAATTTGTTATGAGACCAATATTTTCTGCTTCTTGTCCAGTCATAATCAACAGTTTGGATTGTAACTGAGTATTTTAAAAACCATGATGATAGCAGCTCTATCAGTGTGTAATATAATGAGAACCTCGCATATTGCACAACATTTTCAGCTCTGATCTCCCCCTGTCTGTTTCTATCTTCTAAAAAGATCATGAATTGTCATGTCTGAAAAATGGCACAAAAATAGAGATATAGTAAGATATCTCCACAACGATATTTTTAAAAGTATCAGTTTTCAAAAAAAAAGCAAAAGGACAATCACTGAAGGACAAAACAAATGATTTTGGAATTAGAGATGACTATTTTTCATATTTATTCTTTTTACAACATATAAAGGTGGCAGAAGAAAATAAAGGTGGCTATCAAATGAAAACCTTTCCCCATATCTTTTGTATTCTATGGAACTCATTGGCATAAGATATTGAAGTTAAAGGATTGGAAAAAAAAAAAAAAAAGGATTAATTATTTTACTAACAACAACATCTCTGAGGTAGGATAACAATTTCTGGAGGGGATAACCCTTGCTAATCCAGGACATAGACATCCTTTAAATTTTAGAGTAAGCCAGAAACATCTCTATATGCATCTTATTCCGATATTTATTATTAAGACTTCAACACGCTTCAAAAAGCTTATGGCTACTGTTGAATACCAAGTATCAAACTATGGGGACTGTTGATATGATCTGTAATAGCATTCCCACATTTCTATCTACCCTTTGTATGTCTTAGAGAGTTTGACGTATCAGGACTGTACATACCATACCGATAGCTGTGTGATGTGAGTTTAAATATGTATATGAATTATCAGGTTCCTTCCTGCCTGCTTGCTTTCATTCCTTCATTTTTTGTTATCAAACACAATCTAGGGCAAATTGTGATGGCTTCCCTCAAACACAATTCCTACTGACTTTAATGGACTTGAGTGAGGACTCCAGCATGTAGTGTGTTGTAATAAAATTGAATTTCATCTCCTGATACAATTTTTCCCTCCAGACTGTAGCTCATCTTAAATGTGTGCAAGCCTTTTATCATTTCAAAATTGCTTTGGTGAAGTAATGGAGATGGCAAAAATTGCCATGATCATAGACTGTGAGTTTTGAAAAGAGAAGATTTCTGACTGCAGAGTTTTCTACTCTAGCAGTCAAAGGCGTGAGCAGATCAAACAGCTAGAAGTTTCTTTTTTTTTTCTTTTTTTTTTTTTCCCCCCCTTTTATTTTAGTAGTAATGATAATTAACTATTGGAACAACTAGGAATTTTAAAGTCCAGATTGGATGCCTTTCTAAAAGAAATCCTTTAGGTCATCCAGAAGTCAAGGACTCAGTACAGAAATTATTATGCTACAGAGAAGCTTCTGGTGAATCCCATCTGCCTTTCAAAATGCATTGAGAATTGGTGGGAGGTTTTTTTGGTTTTTGTTTTTTTTTTTCATTCAGTCTTGTTGAGCATCTATAAAATGTAGGAAGTAGCTGAGTGTACATATTAAATTCCCTGTTGGGCCCAGTGTTACCCTTTTTTTTTTTCATATTCATGACTCCAACCTGGCAAAATTCACAGCTGCCCAGAACAACCGCAGCAGTGGCAGCATTAGCCTTTGCCAGACTGCAGAAAATTTGGCATGTGTGCTCCAACGGGAAATTTACACAGGAGATTTTGTAGGAGCAAAGGCTTTTTTTTTTGTGTTAAAAATATCTACGGAGCAGAATAATCATACTTTACACAATCTATCTTAAGAATTGGTTTGGAAATCCTGTAAGTTAAATACTTGCAATTTTTATCAATTCTTCAGTTTTTAATAACTGCATGTTCATATATAAATATAGATATGGACTCAAATTGCTTTATGGAGATAGGAAATAAATCTTCCACTTTATAGGTTTATAGATATTCAGAATTCCATGTTTTCACTGACGACCATTAAACTTTTTAATCTTAGATATTTCACAGAAAATAATCACGTACCACTGTACAAAAAATCTCTGCTCAAAGTCTTTTTGTATTTCACAGTGATTTTTTTATTCAAAAAGTTTTCATCAAAACAAGGAAAGAAGCCTCTTCTAAAAGGAGGCTATAGGTGCTTTTCTTATCAATAATAGCTGGACAACCAGAAAGACCAAGGATTATTGATAACTATTAGTACTGTAGGAGATCAGATATATGGAGGTAGGTGTTGAGTTCGATGTCTTATTTTCATGCAGTCTGGTAAATTGAAACAGTTTTTTCACCTAACTTCAGCTGTCAGTTACTTATACTTAGAAGTTGATAGCAATTAAAACCTTAATTGTGTGGTTTTACTGCAACTGTTCTACTGCAATTTGTAACCCAATGCCTTTTTTTTTTTCATTGAATGTAAAATCTCAAGACAGCATTTGTGTAAGATAATTAGATGAAAAATATGACAAGACATGCAAGCATTAAGTAGTCTTCACATGGTATTAAACGTTTTTTGAAGAAAGATAATTGGAAGCTACATATGGAAGATTTTTAAGATTTGAAGTAAAATAATTTTATGGGACAGCTTCTATATATTTCATTTGGACTTGACAACTACTTTTCCTGACATTTTAACCACAAATAAAGTTCTGTGAATGGGCTTTAGCTGTGAATAAGGATACCGGAACTGATCACTTTAGCCCTCCTTTTGTGGTTAAATGGCCAGATCCCAATCTAATCTGGAAGAATTGTGTATTCTGGGCTTTTTGTTTGGTTGGTTTGTTTTGGTTTTGTGCAACTATACATACATTACTATTAGTCATTATTCTGGACTTGTTCTCACTGTATTTCTGTAAGTTCTACGGTGACTACAATTTGCAAAAGCTGAGCACAATATGTGTATTATATGGTACCTGCTTGTTTGAGCTTGCTATTAGCACAGAAATCTTTTGCTAAAGCTGGAGTGTAAATCCAAAATGATACCTTTTTTGCTAAAAAGAAGTTAAAACTGAGTTTTAAAGTGTGTTTTCATCCCTTATGGTAATTTCCAGGAAGATTTGAATAATTTTGTTTCTTGGGTAGATTATTGCAAACAAAACATTTAACCTTTAACTCTAAATATTGTACAAGATGAAGCACAGAGGTGCATTTAAAGGCACATGATACACAGTTGCATGGATGTGTGTGTAGCACCCCTTCCTCCCTTTGCCCAACCTTTTGTGATCACCCCCATCCTCACAGTTACAGAAACACAAAGTGTTGCATTCCTCGGGAGAATTAAGAGGAAGGACCTTGTCCTGTTCGGACTAGCTTGCAGAGTACAGGTGTTAGCTATACCAATACCTGAAACAGGTCAGGAAATGTTCACAGGCCTTAAGGCTGATAGACACAATCACACATGTACAGAATAACTCTTTTCACCTTCCCAGTCAGGAGTACAGATACAAACTGCCTGCTGTGAATGGTCCTTGGCTGATGCAAACCACCACATCATGCCTAAGAAGGGGTTTTAGTAGTTGTGACTGGCATGGCCAAAATTATGCCAGGAGGTGATTTCAACATTTAAGGAGTGTGAACAGTCAGTGGTCCAGCCCCCAAACTAATTTCCCAGCCTTGTTTTATTTGGCAGTGGAGAAACAGTGCTAATGAATAGCTGATACTCCATTCTTAAAGCGGAGCAGACTCTGCACATGGGAGCTTTGGGAGAAAGTAGAAACTCTTTCCTGAGCACTCCTTGAGCTGATGTGATTCTCTCTCATCTTCTAGCAAGAACCAAGCTTCTCTAGGAAATGTGTCATCTTGACTTTTTGAAACATAAATAAAAGCAGAGAAGAGTAAACTACAGCTATATTCTGACCGTAAAACTAGTTTGCAATGTGACTTTCAGAGAGCTACAAGGAGGTTGTGGAAATTGTGCACTTTTTTCTCAGGCCATGCTTTCACTGAGTCAATAGATCTCTTGCATAACTCTGTAGGCCTGATTCTTTTTTACTCACAAAGACACTTTTTATATTATACTGAGGCTATAGTTGGCTTTAGGGTTCCTCTTCAACACCAAAATAGTATTAAATGGCTGAGCTATAACTCAGAGGGTCCTCATGATCATTTTGATTGTGTATTACATGAGTCTTAGATTCAGAGAAGACCTGTTAAGGTTTTAACTATGGGCCAGCCCTTATAAGCCTCCTCTTGGTATTCAACAGAGTAGTGAAGGCCTAATACAGAAGGGTTATAAAGGACAAATGTGTTAGGTTAATGGTGTAAGCCATATTTTAAGTAGGTATCTCTCTTGCTGTGGAAAACAGAGCAGCTCTGGTATGATGCTGTCTGATACTAACAATACTAGCAGAACTCATCTTCATATCTAGCTTGCAACATTAAAATGTTACAACAAAGGTTTAGGTAATTAATAACTTAATATTTGAATAGTATTTATAAGATTTTCAAGCCTTAGTGAGCATTGTTAAGATTACTTAAAGAATTGTCAAAAGATGGAGCTTCTGATACCTGCCTCCACAGTCTCTAGGTAAATGATGAGTAGTTCTCAACAAATCTCCTTAAAGGGAATAAAAGCATACAGAATGTAATACCAGATTGAAAGGTGATGATTGCTCTCTTCTGCCTTAGTATTGCCTAGTTAAATTTAAATTAATATTTGTTATAAATTTGTGAAGTCAAGCATAGAAACAGCTGGATAAAATTGATTGATGATGTCTTACAGTTATTCAGTCTTTTACTATAATCTAAAAGATCTACTTCAGTCTTCACACCTCACCAAAGGTAGCATTAATAAGATCTTCTTTAGATGCTTTATTATCTGATTTTGATTTTGTAAGTTATTTTCATGTTTTCAAAGTAGTTTCATTTCCATGGACTGTGAATTTGGTGTGATTATATGTAACATTTTAGGTTTTGATTTTGCTATTGAATTTGCATGGGCACAAAGATCTCAAATTTCCTGTAAATTGGTATAAATAACAACAAGCCAAGAGTAAGTACTTCCCTAAATGTGAATTTCTTCAAATTGCAAACAGTAGATAAGGCTTCTTTCTTATGTTAAATTAAAAATGTCAATAAATATCAATGATCCAATTATATTAATTGAAAGTAAAGCTATTAAAATAATCTTTCTTCTCAAATAACATGCTTTACTAACATATCTCTTCAATGCTTCTTGTAAAATGAGGCTGCATCTATTTACATGCAATAGTTGTAAATGGGATCTGACTGTGTCTCCTTTCTTAAGTTAATAATGGGCTTATCAGGAAAACTTCATTTAAAAGATTTCAAAATACATACAAGATCTAAGTTCTGGTCTCACTAATTGTTTTCCTCTTATTCCTGAGGAAAGAAATGGAAGGATACTGACTGCTGGAGTGGCAGCAGTTTCCATGTTAAGCTTTTGCATTTGGCTTGGAGTTTGGTCTTGCATGTTTTCATGTGAAAAGAACAGTAAATCCAGTAAATCAGGCGAAGCTCATAGCAGTTTCAACCTCTTCTAATATGTGTAAAGTGTAAGACATGATCCCATGAGAGGCACAGTAGGCAGTGACACAACAAACTCTTGTCTTAGCAGAAGGCTTTGTCAGCAAAAGGCTATATTGCACCATGATCTAGACACTGAAGGCATACATTTTTTGCTATGGAAAAGATTAAGCGTGGGAACAGTGCACCTCAGGGATGCTGCATCTGTTAAAATTTGTAGAAAAAAACATGATTTTTTCCCCCTGTTTTTAAGAAAATGCTATAATTCAACCAGTAACTATTTTGCTTTATACAGAAAATGCCAGGGAACATTTGTTTTAGAGATAATTCTGACTGACACTAACCTTAATATCTCAGAATAAAGATGGTTTTTATGTCTAATTAAGTGACCAGTATAAAGTTTCTTCAATGTTTTCAGTGGAATATAATTTGCTCTTTAGTTAGATGTTAATTTTGCTTCATCCTTAGCTAGTTTTTTGAGAGAAAATTCACTACACTTGTCCTTATGTTTAAAATGGGATGATAAGTGATTCTGAGTATAAGCAGTTACACTGAAGCTTGCCATCAACTGCAATACTGTCCTTACTATAGCACAGTTCTGATCAGTTTTTTCTTCATCTTTACAAGCATTAGGTAAAAAAGTATTCTGACTAATATTCTTCTCTTGCAAATATGAGAAAACTGTGGTTTTCCAGATGTATAAGTTTCTCAGAAGGATTTTGTGTTTGAACAAATTATTCCTGAACTGTGTTGTGTTTTGCATCATAGATATGTCTTTTAGCTTTACTAAGAACTGCTGTCATGAGCACTTCTTTAAAGGAAAAGAATAGACAAGTTGATGGTGTAAAATTTATAAAAATAGAGCTGTACTAATTTTCAGACAAGTTTTTAAACAAAACATTAAAATGCATACAAAATTGATATATTTGCTTTGTTTTTGTTTTAGATTTGAAGAGTCTTGGTTTAGAAAATAATAAGTTAATTTTCTTTTCATCTCTAGCTGCCCCTAGACAATGTATTGAACTACACTTTGATGAAAAATATTCCATAGAACCTTCTTGGGAGTGTAAATTTGACCATATTGAAGTACGAGATGGACCTTTTGGCTTTTCCCCAATCATTGGACGTTTCTGTGGACAGCAAAATCCACCTATGATAAAATCCAGTGGCAGATTCCTGTGGATTAAATTTTTTGCTGATGGTGAGCTGGAATCTATTGGGTTTTCTGCTCGGTATAATTTTACACCTGGTGAGTACAAACCATCACAATTTTTGATAGAAAATGCTTAGCATAGTAACTTTGTTAATGATGTATAATTTTCTTGTTGAATAATATCTTTAACTGGAACTATGTTTGTTGGCAAGGAAAGTATTAACAGATAAGAAAATGATAGGAGGTATATGTATCTTTGCATAACAAGGAAGGCTTATTCAAGGAAGAAATCAATAGTTTTGTCCAACATGCGTATATTCAGCCTCTGCAGTTTTTCAAATTAAATAATTGTTTTCAATTGAATTCTATTATAGAAAATAATTCAAAATGTTTAATGGGAAGTTATGTATTTTATGCTTGATTGTTACACTGTGCAGCTTTTCTTACAGACTGATCATTGATAAAGAGTTCTAATAAAAAAATATAATTATCTCAGAAAATTCCATCATTGCTTTTCCACTTCACCAATCATATCCGCAACTGAGGAGTAGAATAGTTCTCCCTTTTTAAAAAAAAACAAACTATTACAAATATTGCCAGAGGAACTGAGAGGTTCAAATAGTAAAAGGTATTAAATATTTTTCTAAAAAATATGCAATTTTTAGTTGTATTTGTAAAATTATTCCTTCTAACTTTTAAAACTTAATTCATTAAAGTAAAACAAAATTCATAGTCATTCTTTCCATTAATTCCCCTCCTCCTCCCACTTATTAACAAAAGATTGCTGATTTTAAATTTCATTTTTGGCTGCAGCTACACTATACTGCATTGCACTGCTGGATTTGACGTAGTTCTGTACCTTCTTATGCGTTGAGTGATGAGTCATACCTTAATATAGCTGACTCTAAAGCACTGTAATTATTATGTAATTTTGTCTATTATGTCACTATTGTTTCAGCTAAATTGTTATATTAGGTGGAACAATATTCTTTAGGATATCTGATAAATTTAACAGTCCCCAAATTCTGCTTTCTTAAATATTCCAATAGCATCATAGAAGATAACAGGACTACTTGAATGTTCCTCTATGCAGTTTTCTTTCCTTAATGCAAGGAAAACAGATACAAAATTACCAGCAGAATTCAATTTTCTTGTAAGTCAAAGATACTGTCTTCCAGAGGGTAAACATATTTAGAAGGTTCAATCAGCAACAGAATACAGAATTTTTGTAGCAAATAACCCGATAGCCAGATATATGTATCTATTATAAATGCAAAGACAATGGATGAAAATTTACTGTACCCATACATGTCTCTGAAAAGTGAGTTAAATTTGTTTCTCTCATTTACCCTGGCTCTCTGGGCTTTTGCCATTTTCCTCTCCATCTCAACCAAAAGGTCTTTGCTTTAGATTTCATGTCCTTCTTGTTTCAGACAGTTATGTATTATGGTTGAAAAGATGTTCATACCACAATCTGCATTTTATTCTGTCTAAAAAACTTTCAAGTGAAAAACAATTTAATGGAGCATGTTTTATCCTCATTCTTTTTCCTCTGATGTAAGGTGGATTTCTACACAGAGAACAATGCTGCTAAATTGCTATAGCAGCATAAATTATTTCAGGCTTCAGATGGAATAGCTATGTCTTTTTTCTTTTTTATTTATTGATTTTTTTATTTTCTCCATATATTTCAATAGGAAGCTCTGCAAATGATAGGAGGGTTTCTAGGAATATTGTCCAAAATGAGAATAAGATTAGTTTGAGAAGCACAAAACAACACTGCTGCCTCCTTGATCATGAGTAACAGGAAGCAGTTCTCATTCTGCAAGATTACTTGACCAGTCCTTTATTATGTAGGCATGGATAAGGCTTGACATTTTGAGATCTGTTGCTCAAATGTGTGTAGTGGGAGGAGTCACTGTCAACTCATCAAAAAGAGTGATGGCTTTCAGGAATGTATAAAAGTAACAGAGAGAGGAATTGCCTTCAGAAATTATCACCTAAACCATCTAGATCCATCTTGGGTAGTGACAACTTATGAAATTAAATCACAAATAAAGGAGAGATCAGAAGAAGATTTTCAGCTGGCCTCTCTTTAAAGAATGTCCAGAAAATTGCACAAAGCATTACATCTGGGAACTATTGGTGTCTAGAGCAGCTGAACACTCAGGGGAGATGTAGTTTGTTGCATCCATCCCACTGTGCACAAGCAGCACATTGCCTAACTGCAGCCTGCATAGGAAGATTTCTCCACCCCAGTGACAAGCACAACACAGCTGCTTCTTTAGTACCAGTAATCTTTGATGTTCCCACCTGGGTGATCACCTTCCACCCCTGAAATGCTCCTCAGCTGCCACTTTTGCATTCAGTACCTTGATGGAGGCTCTGGTTTGTTGATAAATATAAGAAATGTAATGTTGAATGTGGCAAGATTTTTTTTTTTTAAAGTGTGTAAATTTGAATGAATTGCAGCTGCAACTGTTTATTATTATTTGAATAGTACCTGGAGAAGCAGGGAAATAAATTATTTCCTATGTCTCCAAGGTGTACAAAAACAGTTAACTGGATGAAGTTGAAAAAAAGATTAATTAGGATATCAGGAAAAATGTTACAATGAAGACCTATTAGTCTGTGCAATTGGGAAAAGCCTTGTCATCTGAGGCATTTTAAAACTAGTTTAGACTAAGTCCTAAAAAAAGAAATTACAGTAACAATCCTAAGGAATAGACTAATATTTTGCAATTACCAAAACTTTTCTGTTTAATAGTTTCTTTGGCTCCTTAGTACTGAAATTGTTGGAACTCCATCCATTGATGTAAAAGTCCAGTGGAGTTCCGGTAGACTCTCAACAGGCTGGGTTTTCAGGCATCTTGAAACAAAAATAATTATCTTGCCATAAATTCTGTTCCATTTAAAGAGATTTTTTTCCAAACACTTTTTAGCACTCTAAAAGGTGCTACACACAAAACCAAGAAAAATACACCCACTAAGTGGTAAAACTACTGGAAATTTTGCAGAAAGTTCTATATTAAGAGGATAATTTGGGCTTTCATTTTTGTGATTTTATAAATTATAGTGTTAAGTGAGATGTGGTTGAATGAAGCTGTATGTATGGTATAAGGATTGACTATTTTAAATGTCAAAACCCTGGGTTATGGGAAGATGTCTTTTTTTTTTTTTTTTTTTTTTGTATTATCACAGCTGAATACCAGTAATAACCAGATGCAATGTGGATGTAAATTAGTTTTTCAACCATTTTGTATACATGTGAGTTTGTAAGAAAGACAAACCATATTTACTCTTTATTCTTTTTTTTTTTAATTGTTAAATGCTGATTAACTGTGACCATTTCTAAATAGAACTATCTGAACCTATGAAACCTTCATAGATATATACAAATATTTTGTTGAGTATATTGCAAATCTCATGTATAAAAGAAATAACATATCAGACTACAATATTTGCAGGTTGCTCTGGTTCATTCTGAACATAAATATGATTGGCTAGGTGTGGTGGTTTCACTTCGCTAGCAGCCAAATACAGCCTCTTGCTCACTCTCCCCCACCTCCAAGGGAACAGGGGAGAGAATTGGAGGTAAGGAGACTCAGGTTGAGAGAAGAAAAAATTTTTAATTGAAATAAAATAATAATAATAACAGTATAAGAAAAAAATTTAAATTGAAATAAAATAATAATAATAATAACAGTAACAATAGATTATGCAAATGAGTGATGCACAGTGTAATTGATCACCACCCATTGACCGATATCCAGCCTGTCCCCAGCCAGCGACCCTGGAGCAGTGACAGTCCTGAAACCAAAACCACAATGACGGAATAGCAAGCCTGAGTGATCCCTGAGAGAATCCCCACCTTTCCAATCAACCCCGGTTAATATACTGAACATGATGTGATATGATACGGAATATCTCATTGGCATATCCAAATGTCAGTTTTGGGTTTTGCTAATTACTAAGCTTTCCCCAATCCACCAGGTCCCCACTCAGTCCTTTGCACCTGCAGACTAGCAGAACACGGGGAAGTTGGAAATGTCCTTCATCTTCCAGTAACTACTGAAAACATTAGTATGTTAGCAACATTATTCTTACAGCAAATCCCATACTGAAAACAAAACAC